GATACTAAAGATATACAAATATGCAAAAGAAAAAATAGTTGGAAGTTAGTCAACAAATGCAGAGGGAAAAGGAAATGGAATATCCAAGAGCAAGTCTTCATTAATTGGTTAATGCAGGCAATCTCAGAGCAGAAGTGGGTTTGAGAGGCACTAGGATGAATTACATTAACATGAAATATTTCAGATAACAAGGACTTTCCAAGGTACTGATGTTTACTTGGCATCTGGGAAAATGAGAATGTTGCTGAGGAGTGATACTAGCTCAAATGAATGAGTGCATGACTCAGGAGCTCTTTGAGATACTGCATAGTGAGTGAGTACAGGAGACTTAACCATATTTCTGTATTTGGGTGATGGGAGGATGATGTAGCACCAAGGATGAAAAATAGGGTGTTCAGAAAAGTGGGAGGAAAAAAAAGTTCAATGTAGCATCTTGGAAACAAATACAAGAATTTAAGCAAAAATGATTGTAGGAAATACAATCATTGGTTATGCTTTATTTCATGTACTGTTAAAGGCTTTGCATATATTCTTTTATTTCATCATTAGCCAGGCACAGTGGCTCACTGTTGTAATCCTAGCTATTCAGGAGGCAGAGATTGAGAAGATCATGGTTCAAAGTCAGCCCAGGCTGACTTGTGTTTCTCAACACAAAAAAGGGCTGGCATTGTGGCTCAAGTGGTAGAGTGCCAGTGTGAGGCCTTGAGTTCAAACTCGAAAACAACATACACACACACACACACACACACACACACACACACACATCCTCCAAAAGCCAAAAATATGGTTGAAAAGCACAGACAGTGAGAACAAATATGTGATGGTAGAAAGAAGAAAAAGTCATATAATTTCAGCAATTGTAGAAGTTAACATTTAGTGTTTGCTATGTGTTAGGCACAGGGTTAAGTATTTCATATTCTGTTCTACAAAGAAACTATTTTTATCTGCAGATTTTAAAGAGGATAAGGAAGCTTAGCAAAGTTCAGCAACTCCTTCAAAAGTGTAAGAGGAAGCTAAGATTAGAAAAATAAGCAAATGTCCCAATTTTTATTATGCATGTGGAATATCTACAAGTTATATATTAAAACCTTTTATTAAGTTAAATAAAAATGACCGAAATTATTAATTCATGAATATACACATTCTACTCTGCAAAGACAACTGATTTTATAACTGACAAATTTCAAGAGGGATTAGATGTTTTTCTTCTGATTTTGACATGAGTAAATAGGAGCTATGGGTGTCAAATTCTTCTCCACATAATTTTTACATATTATAGCAGCTTTGGTTTCTTTCACAAGCAATGGTCTGCATTGTCTGGTGTCAGTTGTGAAATTCCTCACTTGCATCATGAACTCTTCTTGCTCTGTGTTTCTTACATAAATTCAAGCTTTAGTTAATGCTATTTTGGGAAGCACAATCAAGAGTCAAAAGCTGCAATAACGTGCTAGTTTTTATTTATGGATTTCTTCCAACATGTCATAGAAGAAAAGCAATGGTAGCTCTCATATAATTTGGGTATAAATCCCAAACATGAATATATGCAATATTCCATTTTAGTGAACTCTTATTTGTAAATTATAGCAGTTGAAATGACTTAAAAGAGGAAAAATGATGGTAGGATTCCTGAAGAGACAAATTCATAGATGCTACATTTCTTTGGAAGATATTTTACAGACTTTTGCAAAAGCTTATGTAATAATGTCCTGCTAAGAAATACCCTGCTGAGTTGCTAATGGTAATAATATGACATGTTTGACAACAGAGGAGTGGAGGAAGTCAGAGTGGCGTTGACTTGCCCTTTGGATGCAGTTAGCTAGATGTTTTTATGTTTCTCTTCTCAAACTTATAAACCATGATTTGTTTTAAAAAATCATTTAGTTTTCTCTTTTGGAGATGATATTAAATTAAAAAAATTGTTGCACTTATTTTTAGAAACTTTGTAAACCTACTTTTCTTTCTTGCCTTATTTTACTTCCTTTGGAATAATGACATGTATATAATTTTCTTCTTGATTTTCACACAGTTTAGGAGAGCCATACTTCAAATGTATTCCTTAAAACAAATTGCCTACTATAATATATATGTAGACATATTCACTCTCTTAAAAAGAAAAAAAAAACCCAAAAGCCAAAAAACAAGTTGCCTCTTGTTTTAGCCCTTACTAGTACCATGATTTATTTTTATTCATACAAATGAATCCACTTTCTAAAGGTGATTTCAGATTCAAGTTATATTTTATCGTGTTTTGTTATTAATACTACTTGATATTCTTGTAGGAAAAAGAATAAATCATCTTCATTATAAGGGAACATTCTAAGTTGTGATTTTCTAATTTTTAATTTTCTTTACCCTGATATCACTTTCCTATTCTAACTTTCCAGTCTCTCCAGGTTTATAGGCTTTAGGTCACAATACTGAGTCAGATCATTATGCTTACAATGAAGGTAAGCCAGCCATCAATTCACATTAAAGACATCCATCCATACATGTTTCACAGATTTAATAACATAAGTAACAGATCTCTCCAAAAAGTTTTATTACCTGTATATTCAGGAAATAGTTTTGGATGCCACAACCCTTGGTCTGTAGTAATACATCTTTCAAATTGTGAAAAAAGGTCTTTTGGTCCTTGCCTTTTACAACAGTAGCAGCCTGTCCTAAAGAGCATCATTAACTTTTTGAGTAAAACATTCTTTGGTTCTGATTATATTCTTCCAAGTACACTATATCTAGGACTACCACCACACAAAAAGTATGCCATATATGTGTTCCAGCCAACGTTTACTGAATATTTAGAATTGAGCAAGTGCTTTTCCCATAATCATCCCTTTGACTCTCTGCTGGTCATTCCTTCTCTACTACCAGTTAGATACAGTGAAATACATATATATATAGTTACTATTTCTTTTAGATAAGGGAATCAAACCTCAGAATTATAAGTCAATGACACATCAAGGGCCACATAGTTAATGAGGGGCAAGACAGTGTTTCCATTTTTTTTCTTGCTTTGAATTTTTTTTGTGGTACTGGGATTTGAACTCAGGGCCTCATACTTTCTAGGTAGGCACTCTATCAGAGTTTCCATCTTAAAGTCTTCTGACATCACAATCTTATGCTTAGCTAATACTAGAACCCTAAAGGAGGTTCTGTTCCAAACTACTCATTTTATGGATGGGGAAATAAGACACTGAGAAGATGAGAAATTACTTTATGTTCCAATGTTAATTATTATTTCCTTTCTGAACTGCTATGCTTTGTTAATTTGTCTCCAAATAGTTTTAGAAATAAAAATAGAACTACTCCTTCTCAAGTATTCTTTGTCTCATAGTATCTCCTTGGTGAGCACATTCCTTCTATTAAATAGTGATGGTTGCTACTCTTCATTCATCTACTTGAATGTCTCAAGACAAAATACTTAAAATACTGGCGGTACAAAAATTGAAATTGTTAACATTCTCTATAAATTTTACCGATTCCACTTAAAATTCTGGAAATTCCTAATGATTCTTTTAGAATAATTATCTTAACTCTCGATTCATTACCTTCTTCACTTTCTGTACCTTAGGACCTATATGATTCTGATTCCAGAATGTTCAGCATTGAGTTCTCTCCTTAATTTAGTTTAGTTTTTCAGATGTTTACTTCATGTATCTTTCAGAGTATACCACATGTGTCTCAAATATAACAGGTTCTATTCAAAACTCTACATTCCCAGACATCTCCAACAGTAATTTGCACTATTGATTTTGATACAAGATTTTAGCATTTGCTTGGGCTTTGAAGCTAGAATCTGTGTGTCATCCTTTGCTCTTACTTCAATTTTAGTCCTTACATCTAATTATCAAATTTTAAAAGTTTACCTCTAAAATGGCTCTCAAAATTGTCTTATTTTTGTTCTTTTTTCTGCTGTCTTTGTGGAGGCAGTTTCTTAAGCTACAACCAGAGTCTTTGCACTCCAATCTGGTCCCATTTTACTTGAACAAGTGAGTGTATTAGGTTTTCTTGATTACATCAGGTACTGTGCTATTGTACAATGCAGGAAGAAATTAATACCAATGTACTAAATTTGAATGGCTTGCTCTACAATGGAGAGGTACCCTTTTGTTTGCATTTATCTCTATTTCATTCAATCACTCCCATCTTCCCTTCTTTCTTTTAATTTTATAATACAAACTCAATACAAGTAATTAAAGTCTTCTGACATTTTAAGCTATAGTTATCACATATAATGTTCTTGTTCTTTGGAGACTCTCAAATTTTTCAGTTACAGTTGTCCCTTGTTATCTCAGGATATTGGTTCTAGGACCCCACACAGATAACAAAAACTGTAGATGCTCAAGTCCATTAAACAAAATGGCATAGTATTTACATATAACTTGTATACCTCCTCTTTTATATTTTAAATCATCTCTATTTAAATATCTGCTGGTAACTTGTAATGCCTAATATAGAAAAAATGCCAAATAATTAGTTTCTTGTTTATTTAGGCATGAAAAAAGTTTGTACATGTTAATTATATATGCAATTTAAAAATATTTTGGCTCCTCACTTTTTTGAATGATCAGATGCATATTTCTTAGAAATGGAGGGCCAATTGTAAGAAGATGGACAGTGTCAGTATTACTGAGAGCATTCTCAAGCTATTTAAAAAGTTCATTGTCCACTGCTGCGGGAGCTTGAGATGAGATTTTGGAAAATCATAGCAAGGGCTGGAAGAAAATTAAATGACTATTAAAAAAACCAAAATGTAGTATTTTTCAAGTGTAAACATCTTAAAAACAGCCTTTTCTTTGTGGTACTGGAGTTTGAATTTGCTAGGTCCAAGTGCTGTATCCCTTGAGTCACACCTCCAGCCTTAAAAAAATACTTTTTGACAAAAATTATTTCCTTAAGATTTCTGAGGTATTTTAAAGAGAATCTTTAATGTGCTAAAAACACGTTCTATAGCTTCTATGAAGTGATCATCATTTAATTCAGTACTTCTGTATTGCTGATAGGTACACACTGGTGGATATTTTGCGTGCCATCTTACTTTCTTTAGAAGCCATGATTGAAGATCCTGAGCTCCAAGTAAATGGGTTTGTTTTGATCATAGACTGGAGTAACTTCACCTTCAAGCAAGCCTCTAAGCTTACACCAAGCATGCTGCGACTAGCTATTGAAGGCTTGCAGGTAAGGATACACTGATTACCATTTCTTGTCTCCCATATTTGACTACTTTTGTCTAATGTGTTAGAATGAAGAATGTCTCACAGAATAATGAAATAAACAAAAAGTTTTAGCTTTTCAGCACAAATATTAAAACACTAAACAAATAGAATTATACAAGCAAAGTTGAAGGATGTTAGCATTTTAATAGCTAGACAAGAGTTTGTTGTACTTGGCAGGAGACCCCTGTATATCTAAACCTGAATAGAGACAATAAACTAAGACTTTTATCTTGAAAAAACTTGCAGCAATTTTTAGATTTTAATTATTATCTATTTAGACTTTTGTTTCCCTTTACTTTTCAGTGTTTATTAACTAAATATTTGCTTCGTTACTCCATTTAACCTAGTGAACATGGTTCATATCATCTGTTGCCTAAGATTAATCAATATGCTTTTTTTGTCTCTATGGCACAAAAGTCACTGTTCTGAATTATTTCTGTAGACTTAATTGGGCTTGTTTGCTTTATTTGCTGGGAGGGACTGCCACATGGAATTTATATAGTAATAGTGCATCTTCTAGGGAATGATATTTAACTGCGTGGTAATAATAATGGAAAACGAGTCATTATTGGTATCATGTTATTGTCCTGCTACTGTCAGGTTCTTTTGTTAATTTTTAGGACATTCTCTTGCTCTCTCTCTACTTTACTACATACCAATGTGTTTAATACTTATGGAATTGATTTTGAGCTTCTAGAAAGATTTGCAATTTCTCTTGAGTGGTATTTTTCAGTATTTCTCTGTATTCTCAATACATGTTCTAAAAGTTTGCAAGCTGATAGTTAATTTTTCTAAATTTATCACTTAGAACATCTTTTATTTTAAAATAATGAATTACATATTTATCATTCATTGTCAGGCATTAGATCTTTATAATGATTAATAAGCCCAAATGATCCAGATCGCCATTCCATAGTAATTTCTGACTGTGTCTCTAGGCTCCTAAATTGATGACTGATGACCCCTTAACAGTGGGCCACTCCTCCAAGGCAGTAGGACATGGCAAATTGAATTCACAGTTTGAGTTCTGCCTCTGGATTGAATAAGATACATGAATCTTTTGTCTTCACGTGGAGGGTTTGTTTATTTATTTTTCAATGCAAGAGTCCTGACTTGCTCAATCCTGTCTTATTGTGGAACTTTTTTTTTTTTAAACTCCATGGAGACAGTTAATAAGGGTTGAGAAGGGACACAGGATAATGCATGCTTGGCAATGTTATATCATGTATTCTGCCCCATTTCCAGCATTGTATAAAGTATTTTTCAGTTTGTGAGGAAAATTGGTTGCCACCAACTATGTTACTTCACTCAGAATGCTAGCCTAGACTAATGGTTACCCCTATTTAACTTGTGTCTTCTCTTTGCCTTAGGGCCAGGTTAAACTGTCAGCTACAGATAGGGCTGGAGAACTTATACTATACCCAAGTAAAAATTTAAAACACCTCAAGGATGGACTTAGTATTTTATTAGTTTTAAACTTGTACACTTTACGGACTTATTTAACAATAATGTGATAAATCATTGCAGGAAAACATGCCAATTGCTCAGGAATGTTTGGGAGGGTCTCATTAGTTATGACTACTGTCAGAGCTGTAAGTGTTTAATGTAGCTACAGTCAGATTAGAGCTCTGTGCTGTCTTGAGAAAGGAATGAACCCCATTCCCAACATGGACTTGTGCCGCACAAACAGAATGGCCTTCTCTCTCTAATCACCATGAATACCTCATTCCCTTGCTCTTTTCCTCCAAAATGTAGGCTGAATGAGTAGGCCTAACTGCTCTTGATCACCAGTTTTGAAGCAATTTACAAAGGAGGGAACTCTTCTTGGGAATAAATTTGACATGATTTGTGTCTCAGTTTTTCTTAAGTTCTAATTGCTTGTTTAATTCTATGCTCTGTTCTTGTGGCTATAAAACTATCTAAAACAAATGGTAATTCTGAATCCTAGGAACGTTGGATTAATACATATGTTCTTTTATGACATGTATGAGCTCATATTAGTCTTATATTGAAGTAACATTTTTCTGAATTTTTAAGTCAAGTCTCTGTTTTGGTTTGCAGGTATTATGAGAGAAATATTGTACATTGATATATTTTTCAATCAGGTTATTAATGAACACTTTCAAGATTAACATAAGATTAAAAAATGTTTGAAGGAAAGATACACAATTTTAGATTGCTAAACACTGCAACCAACATCACCAAGAGCACTAACACCACCACAACAGAAAATGCCCAGTTAACCCAGTAAGGATTATTAAGAAATGAGAATATTTTTAGTAACTCAGTGATATCTTATGAGATAATTCTGATATAAAGTTACTTTTATTTAGGCAAACATAAAAAATTCTAGAGAGTTGAACCGAAAATAACAAAGACTACCAATAAGTCTAGTGTTAGGACACTTATTTTAATGAAGTGCTATATGAATGGAATGATATTATTTTGAGGAGACCCTATCTCTCCTCCTTGTGACTTAGGTATATAATCTGTCCACAGCACCAATCTCCTTTTTCCTCAAGCAAAGAGTATTTTGGGTGGCCTGCCCACAGATAGTATCTGATACCCTTTATAAAACTATGATTGCCATGGGTCTCATGTGATCACAGTACAAGGTCAAGTGAGAGATAGTATGGAGATATTAAAATAGAATACATTCAGGAGTCAGACAGACTTGACTTTGAAAGGCAACCCTGCAACACACCAAGTAAATCATGAAAATTACTTAACTTGTTTGAATTTCAGTGTATGGATTCATATTGATTTTAAGATGTTATTAGATTAGAAATGACATATCTTACACCTAACAGGTGATGTCAATGATTAAAGTTGATACAGATTAGATCAATTTTTAGGTGGCATATTTTTCTAGATGTAAGCTATTTTCTCAATTCAGTGACTTCCTAATTTGTGATTAATTATATTTGGAAATCTAAACAATATCTTTTTTGGTGCTCACATTACAGATACACAGATTGAATTTTTTCCTCTTCTCTGTGGTTAAATAGCATTTAGATATTTTCACATTGGATACCAAAGAAAATGTATTTTCACTTTGGAAGCTAGAAAAAAGAATGCAGCTGTTAAGTTTAAATGAGATTGGTAAATTTAATGTTTGTTTCTTTTGGAGGAAGCTCCAGAAGTAGCTGGAAAGGTGGTAGGTTGTGAAGATATGGTAAACTTTGAAGACTGAGCAAAAGTTTGTTAAGTGGACAAAGACAGGAAGGGGTATCAGACAAGGGAATATTGGGAGAATACTTTGGACAAATACAGAGCTATAAGCATTGAGAATAAATAATGAGTCTGCTTTGACATGGCTACAATAGGAAATAAATTGAGGAAAATAACCATAGAAAAGCTTGAGAAGGTCGACTCAGATTGGCTGTATGGGATGAAATCTGTTTGCTGTGCAGTGTGTCATGTGCTCTCTAGACACATAGAGGTTTGGGACAGGAGAGTGTCCTGACCATTCTTCTCCTTTGGAAAGACTTTTTATGTGAAATAATGAACTTGGATCAAACAAAGGAGAAATTGAATCTTGAGAATCCTGAAACTACCCTTGTAGTTAACTATATTCTATTTTTATTGTAGTTAACTAATCCTATTTTAGAGGTTAGGAAATGAAACTTAAGAGTTTAAGGTGCTATATCCAATTTTCTCAGCTTATGTTAAAGCTTGAGTCCAGGTTATTTGACTCCAGAAATCAATGTCTTTCCTGAATTTTATTATTTCTGTTGATTCCTAGACAGTCTTAAAGAAAAAGTTCAGGTTGAAGTGATTATTCTTCTCATTCCCAAATCCTCACACTTTAATATAGATGAAATTTCTTTGTTAGGATAGACAGTGCACTTCTAACTAAAGAAATCACAAGTGACTGGCCTGTGTCTTTGCACCTTTTTGACAGCCAGTGGCAGTAGTAGGATCATTGCCTTTTTTCCAGTGAGCAGCTTCCTTGAGTGACCATCTGTCTCCTAGTTCTCTGGCACATATATAGCATAGGACCAAAGGAAAGACATATTTGCTGGTAGCCAAAGAGACCTTTATAAACACAACTGAAACTTGACAAGCCACTAATAATTTTGCTCCAAGGCAATTCTATATTTCTTCTTTGTGCAGAACCTATAAACATGTTTGAGATGTGAAAGGCTTCAGCCATTTTAACCAACATAATATAGTTTCCTGATGGATAACAGGCAAAAATCAGATATTTTTGTGGGAAGAGAATATTCAGGCTTCACTGGAGAGGAAAAAGAAAGAGAAAATTGTCTTGCTACTTACAAGAAGTTAATTGATCAGGGGAGTCATAGAAACAGAAAGTTTCTTAGAAAATCAGTATAAGATTAATTGAATGTGACTTGTAGACTGTAAGATGTCTGCCTGGGAAGCCAATTAAAACATGAAATGTTTGGAAATACCTATAACAACTTAGACTCTGAATTTACGGTGAAATTATATACTTTTAATAATTTTGGTTTCTGTTGTTTGATTTATTCTTGTAAGATATCTTGGAAATTTCATTAGTAATGAAAAACTTAAACATTTATGAATTAAGAATCCCCCAATTTGTAAATTTGTAGAAGTTTATCCTCATTTTACCTGCATTGTTTGTTTCCCTTTACATATATTTACCTTTTAGTCCCCTCAGTGCTGTCCTGCTACATCTCTGTGCTTTCACAGTTTCACAGGAATCCTCTAACTCCATCTGCTGAACAGTACATAATGCAGTCAAGACATGGCTTGCTGGCAAAGGTTTGGCTATGACAGGGTGGAATAGCTTTTTGAATTGCTACATAAAACTCATATGTAGGGCCATTGTAAAGTGCCTAACATAGTGCCAAGAGCCCTTAATAAGTAGGACTTGAGAAAGAATAAAGAATATGTAATCAATCCTCTGGTCCTTTCATTTGACTCAAGGACCTAGCCTTACCAGCAGCCACCAATCTGCTAGCTCTGAGAGCTCTG